AAGGAAGAGGGTGACCAAAGGAGGCTTGAGGCTAGAGAGGGACTCAGGGTCACTGCCTCATCTCCTGAAAAAGATGCAGGAGGATTCTCCAGAGCAGTCTCAGGGATGTCAGCACGTAACCAATAACCAGCGTTTCTGGCTTTTAGCTGAGACTGCGATGGCCCGAGGTCACTGTGGGTCAATGGTGTCCTCTGCTGGGAAATAGACCCAAGGAAGGTGAGAACAAGCTGGAAGCCACCCATCACCTCTCTTTTCGTCATCACAGTGGAGGGTGACACATTTTAGAACGTTCCACGGTGAAACTCTGTCTCTAAAACAAAACAGAAGCTCCATTCTGAAGCATGTGGGTATTCTGTATCGTGACAAGTAGAGCTCACGTTCCCAAGTATCTAGGACTCGGCATGATACTGCATGGTTGACTTCTGGCCCTCGGGAGGCTGAGACTGGGGGATCTTGAGTTCGAGTTAGCTTGGTCTTCCTAGAGAGATCTTTTTTGGTTTTTCGAGACAAGGTTTCTCTGTGGTTTTGGTTCCTGTCCTGGAACTAGCTCTTATAGACCAGGCTGGTCTTGAACTCACAGAGATCCGCCTGCCTCTGCCTCCCAAGTGCTGGGATTAAAGGTGTGCGCCACCGCCGCCGGGCTCCTAGAGAGATCTTATCTCCAAAATAAAATAAAAAGCTAGGCAGTTTGGGGGAAGCCTTTAATCTCAGCACTCAGGAGGCAGAGGCAGACGGTTCTCTGAGTTTGAGGCCAGCCTGGTCTACATTGTGAGTTCCAGGACATTCATGGCTTTGAGAGAAACCCTGTCTCAAAACTTAGTTAAGTAATACAAAATAAAACAAAGGGCTGGGTCTTTGGCTCAGTTGGTAGAGTACTTGCCTAGTATGCAGGAAGCCCTGGGTTTGATCTCCAGCACCACAGAAAATGGGCATTGTGGTTCACAGCTGGACTCTGAGCACTTAGGCTGGAGGATTAGGAGTTCAAGTTCATCCTCAGATTACATAGGGAATTTAAGGCCAACCTCAGCTACAGGAGAACTTGTCTCAAAACAAACAAACAAAATTTAAAAAAAAAAAAGGAAATGGAGGAAATATGTGTTGGAATATCACTTCTGTGAAAGCTTTCCAAATACCACCAAGCCTTGTGATTGGGCCCCCAAGTTAAGGAGCAGGCAGGGGAGCACAGGAAGTGGTACATGGAGAATGATTGACAGGTTGGCTACAGGGCGGAAGACTCAATGCCTTTAATAGCCAGGGAGGCTGGGGTGAGGGGAGGACTCAGAGATTAGAAGGGAAGCGAGGGTTGGGGATATAGTTCAGCGGCAGAGCATTGAACCACCGTGTCTGAGACCCTGGGGGATGAGCTGGGGGTGGGGAAGAAGTCAAAGGATATTGGGATAAACCAGGCAAAGGAAGGCAAATATGACATGTTTTTATTTTCATGGAGAAGGGACAAAGTTGGTTTTATAGCAGGGACAAAAGTGGTGGTTTCTCCAGTCCAGAAAGGGCGCAGAGAGGGAGGTACAAAAGGAGATGGCTAATGGGCACAGGGTGTAGCTTGATAGGGGGATTTATTTATTTATTATTACTATGCAGTTGGGCCTGTATTGCTGAGTGCCAGGGTTATACACGCACACACACATATATCAGATGGAAAGCATGGATTATAATGTCCTATATCACAGTAGGAGAACTATGGCTGCCATAAATAAATCTAGAATGTCAAAATAGCTAGTATATGGGATTTTGAACATTTTTAGCACAAAGAAATGACTAGTGTCTGAGGCAAGGGATTTGCCAGACTTTGATCTGACCATGATACACTGTATAAGCTATTGAAGTGTTACAGTGTCCCTTGTAATTCACACAACTACCATGTGTTTTCTAAAATACACTTTAGGCAGTTGTGGTGGCTCACACTTTTAATCCCTGCACTGGGGAGGCAGAGGCGGTTGTAGTTCTAATCTGTGAGTTCAAGACCAGTTTGGTCTACACAAGCTGGTTCTAGGCCCGCCACGGCTGTATGTGAGATGCTGTCTCAGATATGTGTGTGTGTGTGTGTGTGTGTGTGTGTGTGTGTGTATCTATATACATATATATATTTGCTATAATTTTAAAGGTGGCAGATGAAGAGACGGCTTAGCACTGCTCTAGTAGAGACTGAGTCAGTTGCTAGTTCCCTCCTCATTTGGTCTCCGAAGTCACCCACATACACATGTGCACACACACACAGACAGACACATGCACATAAATTAATTTTTTTTTCTTAATTTTTTTGCTTTGGTTTTTTTTGAGACAGGGTTTCTCTATAGCTTTAGAGCCTGTTCTGGAACTTGCTCTGTAGACCAGGCTGACCTTGAACTCACAGAGATCCGCCTGTCTCTGTCTCCTGAGTGCTGGGATTAAAGGCGTTTGCTACCACTGCCCGGCTTAATTTTTCTTTTTCAAGACAGGGTTTCTCTGTGTAGATCTGTCTAGCCTGGAACTCACAGAGAGTCACATGCCTCTGCCTCCTGAGTGCTGGGATTAAAGGCATGCACCACCACTGCCTGGTGTGGTGGTTGTTTCTTAAAACGCATTTTGTCTATAGATATAGATAATGGCATTCAGATAAAATGTTTATTAATTTGCTGGACATGATGGTACACATCTGCCACCTGTAATTCCAGAACTTGGGAGACCAAAACAGGAGGAAAGAAAGTTTGAGGCCAGCCTGCATGATATAGTGAGTTCCGACTTGAGTCCAATTTCCAGCACCCACGTCAGCTGGCCGATAGCTGCCTGGGACTCAGCACTAGGGAATCTGATACCTCTGGCCTCACATGCACATAACCACACAAACATGCATCAACACATAGTTAAAAACAATAATATGTATCTACACAATACTAAAAATAACAAGAGCAAATCTTTAAAGAACTGCTTTAGGATAACTGGGGAGGAGGAACGGAAGCTGTCCTTGAGCTGGAGCTGGGTGACGGCTGGCTGTGTGTGCTCACATTTGCTCTCTCTACTTTTTTGCACATTTGTCATTTTCTATAACTAAAAAGGTAAGACAGAACTCAAATCTGGGGCTGGAAAGATAGCTCAGCAAGTAAGAACATTTGCTGCTTTTGCAGAGGCCCCAGGACCACCACCCTCCCGGCAGCTCACAACTGCCTTTAACTCCACTTGGGGTAGAGGTGGCCGGAGTCTGTGCCCTCTGTTGGCTTCCACAGGAGCTGCATGCACATGACACACACACACACACACACACACACACACACACACACCTACCCACATGCAGAGATATAGTCATATATAAAATAACCTTTTAATTAAAAATAACCTTAGACCTGAAATGTGGGAAGTGTTCATGTGTGATACTATTCTTTTATCTCTTCTGTAGATTTGATCTGTTCTGAACAGCAGGACAGTGCAAAAATCACCCTTCTCCATACAAGACCTTGTCTCAGCACCCCCAAACCATTCGTTTGTCTTTAATTCATCTGTTCGAGAGGGAGGCCCCAAAGCCTAGCACTTGAGGTCCCTAGGGGCCATTCTGAGTAGTCCTTTGAGGCTGGGATAAGTCTTCTGGTCACATGTCACGAGTCAGAGCATTCCCTCCAGCAAGGGCAGGGTGGGACGAAAATCCAGAGACACCTGGACAGTGTCCAAACGTCACGTGAACAGTGGAACTGCAAACATCTGCATCCGGGCTCCCATCAGGGGGCCATCTAACATCCCCTAGATTTGAATTTCACTTTCCCTCACATCCCCCCCCCCCATCCCTTTTCCCCTTCCATTCATCTAACAGAGAACAAAACAGCACAAAGAGAAGCAAGGAGGAGGGGTCGTGAGGTCGTGAAAGAACTCAGAGTAAAATACTGCCACACTCAAAAGTTTAACTGGTGTGAGCTTCTGGGCTTCTGGGGAAGACAATGGATGGCTCCAGGGTATCCCAGGACCCTGTGGGGTTGTCAGAGAGACTACACACACTTGTCTCCGGAGGGAAACTGAGTGAGAGATCACACAAGGCCATGTGTTGGAGACCAACCTGGGCAACATAGCTAGATTTGATCTCAAAAGAAAACAAAATACACCCACCAAACACCAATAAAGAAAGAAGAAAAAAAACAACTTTTGTTTCTTTTGAGCATGAAATTACAGAGAAATGGGCTCAAAGTGGGGAGCAGTGGGCCTAGGCACAGAATTGTAAGATTGTGACCATGCTGTAGCAGCTAAAGGCCACTGCGAGGTGGAGAAAGGTGGGTGGCACCATTAACGCTGGGATTATGACTTCAGCTCGTCTCCATAAAGAATGACCAGGAACTAGCCCGCTGGGGAGGAAGGGTTGGAGATCCAGTTCACACAGAAAGGAATAGCAGTTTCTTAGACAGCGCAGAGGATGGTTCATTTTGCTGGAGGAATTTTTACAACGTTAATTTTATTGATTTTGTTTAGTTTTGATTTATTTTTCTTCCATCTGGTGAAGTATTCCCCCCTTATTGCCAGACTGGATTCCAGAATGTCAGCCTCTGGCTGCTGCCCCCAGCAGAGCACACTTGGCTGGAACAATTGCACCTTCTGCCCTGACATCTGGCCTTGGTCAGCTTTCTGGGTGTTTTGTTGCTGTTGTTGTCGTTGTTTGTTTGCTTTTAGTTTTTGGCCAAGTTAAGTGATGTAATTGATACCCCTTGTCGCTGTAACCTGGTTTTGTTTCTGATCGTGAATACATCTAACAACTTTTGTCTTATGCCCACAGGCTTGATGGGGTAGCCGGGTCTGAAGAGTCCAGAGTGCTATTGCGACAGACATCAAGGCTGAGAGGGTCCCAGGGGAGTTGCACGCAGGGGACTTAGGGCAGCTAGAAGGCACAGCGGGAGTGGGAGCTGAAGGTGGGGTGTGAATGTGCAGATAGGACTCACAACTGGGCTGACAGCGGGCGGGATCTACGGAGAACCTCTGCCGCCCACTCCCCCCGCCCCCTGCGCGCTCCCGGCTCCGTGCACTCCTAGCCCCAGGCAGCTACGCGCCCAGCACGAGCGGAGCAGCGGAATGGAGGAGGAGCTGGCTTGGGAGACCCACGGCTGTGAGTCCCAGTGCCGAGGGCGGGTGGACATGGTGGGGGCCCGAGGCCCATGGGGGATCCCACGTTCACAGAGGGCGGCCCAGGGAGAGGCTGGCCCTTCACATGGCCACCTCTGTCTCTGTGGGTCACCTCGGGCTTCTCTGTGACTCCGGGAGGAACGATGCACAGGCATAGGGAACAGTAGCCGCACCTCTGGGACTCATTGTGTCCTGGGCGGGGCAAGCCAGGGGTGACAGCAATCCTTGTTAATATCTTGCTTTGTGTGCCTGGCTTTGAGGCGCAGGTCAGGCGGGTCTTCTACCTTTGCGACTATGTGGGTAGGGCCTACTGTCATCTCCATTTTTCAGATGAGAAAGCCGAGGGACAGGATGAGGTCACATGACTGTATAGTAGTAGAAATGCTGAAATCAGGCATGGGGCACAGTTCGGCAGGTGCAATATTTGTTTAATGTGTGCAAGGCTGTGGGTTCCATCTCACACACCATGTGAACCAAGCACGGAGGCACACATCTGTAATCCTAGTACTAGGGAAATGGAGGCAGGAGGATCAGGAATTCAACATCATCTTCCATCCTTGGCTACTTAGGGAGTTCAAAGCCAGCCTGGGTTACAGACCCTGTCAACCCCCACCGTCCCTACCACCACCCCCAACGACAAAACGAAAACCTAAAGACCCCAGTTCACCTATAATAAAATGGACTGTAGACAGCATATCACAGGAGGAACCAGGACCTAGAAAAGAGGGGCTGTGGTCAGCTCCAGCCCTGAGTGAAATAAGGAACTTCAGAATCTCTTTCAGAATGTACCCAGCGCCAGGTCCCCCTAGGTGTGTGGTAGGCATACCTGTGGCCATCTGCTCTCCTGGGAGCCCTTTGGTGCTCTGCCTGGGAGAGGAGAGAAGACTGTGTCACTGTCTCCTCCGAGGCTGTCTGGGCTGAACCCTGACCACTGATCCCAGAGTGCATTCTCCAATCCCCAGTCCTGCCCACTGGAATTCAACATGCTGAAGCCAGCTGTTACTATCTGCCCAGATGAATGAGAAATGGGTGCTGGGCTCCACTAGGCATAAGTGTTGCTTTTAAGACCTTTACTTTTTTTTTTAAATATTTCTTCATTTATTATGTATACAATATTCTGTCTCTGTGTATGCCTGCAGGCCAGAAGAGGGAACCAGACCTTATTACAGATGGTTGTGAGCCACCATGTGGTTGCTGGGAATTGAACTCAGGACCTTTGGAAGAGCAGGCAATGCTCTTAACCTCTGAGCCATCTCTCCAGCCCCAAGACTTTTACTTTTTAATTAATTAATTAAATTTTGGAGACAGATTCTCTCTGTGTATTCCTGGCTGTCCTGGAGCTCACTATGTAGACCAGGCTGCACCTTTGCCTACATCTGCCTACCACCGTCTCTGAGTGCTGGGTTTAAAAGCATGTGCCTTACTTTATTATCTTTGTGTGTGTGTGTGTGTGTGTGTGTGTGTGTATGTGTGTGCACGCGCACGTGTGCACATGCGTTACCGTGTGTGCATGCTTCCGTGTGTGTGTAACCTGAAGATGAAGCCAGAAGGGAGCGTCAGGTTTCCAGGACCTGGAGTTATAGGCAGTTGCTAGCCACCAGATGTGGGTCCTGGGAATTGAACTCAAGGGCTCTGTAAGAGCAACAGCTGCCGTCTCTCCAGGTCATCTCCCCTCACCAACCTTTATGACACAGGTAGCCCAGGCTGCGTAGCCCAGGCTGGATTTCAACTTGCTAAGCAGCTGAGGCTGCCATGGAATGCACGGGTGTGTGTCACAGCACCCAGCAAAGAGCTGGTTATTTCAGAGTGATCACAGCTTTCTGCTGGGGTCAAAGAAGCGTTAAGGATTCTCACGATCAAAGGGAGAACACTGAAGTGTTGAGAGACTCGGGGCCGAGAACCCAGCGCTGATAGACGCTCAGATGTCAGAGAGCCTGGTGTGCATTATTGAGGCTGGAAATGTGTGGGGTGGAGTGATGGAACAGATAAGGTTTCATTCTTAACTTTGTCACTTCCGAGCTTGCTGGCCCTGCTAAGATGCTGGCATCTGTCCCTGGGTGCCCAAATGTTCATGTGTGACAGGAGTCGACTCTCTCCTTCCACCTTGTTTTTTGTTTGTTGGTTGTTTTCTGTTTTCCACCTTGTTTTGAGGCAGCATCTCTCTTGCTATTTCTGCCAAACTGTGGTGCATACTCCAAACTAGCTGGCCTTCAAACTTCTGGGCAACTCTCCTGTTTCTGTCCCCTTTCTAGCGACAAAATTACAGATGCATTTGGTTCTTCACATGGGCTCCGGGAATCAAACTCATGTCAACAGGCTTGCTTGGCAAACCCTTTCTTCTGGGCCAGCTTGAGCTTCCTTTTATATTTATTTATTTGTGTGTGTGTGTGTGTGTGTGTGTGTGTGTGCCTGTGGTGGTCAGAGGACAACTTCCTAGAGTCAGTTCTTTCCTCTCGTTATGTGGGTCTTGGGGATTGTCAGACTTGGTGGCAAATGTCCTTACTGACTGAGCCGTTTCACTACCCTCCTCCCTTTTAGACTTTCTTTTTGTTTTCTTTTTTTAAAATATTTATTTATTTATTTATTTATTATGTATACAATATTCTGTCTGTGTGTATGCCTTCAGGCCAGAAGAGGGAACCAGACCTCATTACAGGTGGTTGTGAGCCACCATGTGGTTGCTGGGAATTGAACTCAGGACCTTTGGAAGAGCAGGCAATGCTCTTAATCTCTGAGCCATCTCTCCAGCCCCCTCTTTTTGTTTCCTTGTGTGTGCGTGTGTGTGTCTGTGTGTGTATGGGTGGGTGCCTGCAGAGGTGGAAAGAGAGCGTTGATCCCCTTAAGCTATAGTGACAGACAGGCAGTTGTAAGTGGCCCAACATAGGTATTGGGAACTGAACTCAGATCCTCTGAAGGAGCAGTAAGTGCTCTTTACCTGTTAACCCATCTTTTAACCTACATATCTATTTATTTATTTGTGTGTGTATGTGTGCTTGTGCCATGGTGCTCAAGTGGATGCCAAAGGGCAACTTGCAGGAGAAAATTTCCTCCCTCTATCATGGAGGTCCTGGGATCAGGCTTAGCAGCAAGAACCTTTCCCCTCTGACCCATCTTGCCAGTCCTGTTTTTTTTCTTTTAAATTGGGTTCCAGGGATCTGAACTCTTGCCAGATCACTCACTTTACCTAAGCCTTCTCCCCGTGCCCTGGGGGTGCTTTGAGGAAGGAGAGAGAAGCCTTCATCTGGGCAAAGTGGAATGGGCCCTAGACGTGGAGGTGAAAAGGTTTAGAATTTAGGGCGAGGTGAGAGGAGACAGAAGAACGAGGGATAGGAAGGTCTAAACGTGGGACATCCTACCTCTGGCCCACTAACTCCTCACTGTCTTCTACACTGAGTAGATTTTAGCGAGGTGGTCACTGGCTCCACTGGGATTGAATTCCACCCTTCCCCAAGTGCATCCCCAAGTATGTGTTCCCTTCCTCTCACCTGGAATCCCTCTTGCTCCCCAGTGCTTCCCCTGGAGAGACAGCTCCATGAGGCCTCACGCTGGAATCAGGTGGGGAGGATGAAGGAGCTGTTTGAGAAGAGGGTTAACATCAGGGCTAGGAACCACGTAAGTACGAGTACAGAACGGCGCTGCCTCCAGGGGGACAAGTCATTGCATCTGAGGAGGTGTGATTGTGTGCACTGACTTGGCAGAGGGGGAGGCCCATGTTCTGTCTTCATCGCTGGAGCTGGCCTAAGGGTCAGGATCCCAATCCAGGCTTTGGCAAGTCCAGAGCTCAGACTTTGAGCCTGTGGGGCCCATCTGGAAGGCCTATCTAAGAAACAAAGGTGGGGAGGTACATGTGGGCAGGATTCTGGGGACCATGGGGGACCAGACTCCAGACACTGGGGCATGAATGTGAGGTAGCAGTTGAGTTCAGCTCTCTTAACAAGCTCTCCATGCTTGTGTAAAAAGCTGCAGGAGGCACAGGCCCATGCTGAGAGTCCAATAATCAGACAGGGAAGCAGGGTCCCCTGCTGGGGATGGGGATAGAGGAAGAAGCGTGTCTTCTAAGTGGATACTGAAGACAGGCCTGGATACCATGCAGGGTGACCCCTCTCGGACTCAGAACTTCTGGCTCGGAGGAACTTCTTGGATGCTATACTAAGGCTTGATTAGCAGGCATTGGATGCAGGACCCTTGATTGCAGCAGAAGGTCCCCTGTCTAGAGGACAGTTTTTAGAACCAGCTTGGGAGGTGTGGGAATAGTAACAAGAATTATAAGTGTGTCTGGTGTGTTCTGGTCTTCATAGCACTCAGCCACCAGCTTCTTGGTGGCTGACATTTAGCCCTGGAGTGCTGAGGAGAGTAGAAAGTATTGGCCCTGTGTATAGTTCAAGGCTATAGTGGGGCAGAGGCAGGTCACTTCAGGTCACACAGCATGTGCTTGGTGACTAGTCTCAGTTCCTGAACAAGTAAGTACCTGCAGGGAAGCATGGCCTAGTAGTATGATGGTGCTTTGTCTGTTTGCCCATCCATCTGTTAGTCTGCCCATCCATCCATCCATCCATCCATCCATCCATCCACTAATTATGTTTACATGCATACTCACTGATGTCTTCATTCATTCATTAAGTGTATTCCCTCATGAACACTGGTTTATTCATTCATTCACTAAGAATTTATTAAGAACATATCCTATGCTAGTTGCTGGAAACAGAGCAGAACCCATGACAGCTGTGGTCCCAGTAAAGCCCACAAGCTAACTGTCTCATTCCCACAGTACAGGGAGGGTTCCAAGGGGCTTTCTTTCACCTGGAGGTATCCCAGAAAGCTTCCACGGGGTGAGCTGGGGTGAGGCGAAGAGCAGTGTTCCAGGTGGATGGGACGGTGTGGCAGAAGCCCCGAGAGGAGAGAGCTGACGTCCAGAGATTACACTGAAAAGTAGTGTTCCCTTGGCTGCCTCTCATGAACTGAGACGGCAGAGAGGTGGACTATCCAGAGGAGGCTGGTGGCCCAGACTGTTCAGATGGACAGAGAGCCAGAAACCAGGATAAACTCCCAGGGTGGTGGAGAGCAAACCAGACGGTCAGGCCCTTTTGGCTCATTGTGAGGGAAGAACCAGACACTCGGTCTCCCTTGGGGACACTGAGAGCTGTCTTAGGTCACATGTGGCTTCCCAGTAGGAAGGAAGATTTGGAGCTGGGAACCATCTGGCCTCTCTGAGAAGCAAAGGGGGCAGTGCCAGGCCACACAAGGGCTTATAAGCTCAGGTTCAGGCGTTTGCCCCAAGAGCAGTGGGGAGCCATGAAGAGTTTCAGGCAGGGACAGATGGGTCCAGTCAGTGTATCTTATATTTGTTTTGACTGTACCATACCAGAGAAAAGGGACCCCAAGAAGGACTGGATTCCCCACCAGCTGGTCACCAGAGCCACCAACAGCCCTTCCTCCCTGCAGGCCAGCTGTCTCGGTAGGGAGGGTGCTGGGGGCTGGCCAGGCAGGGTGGAATGACAAGTTCCCTCCCCTCCTGGCAGGTGGGGAGAGTGGCCCTGCACTGGGCTGCAGGTGCTGGGCATGAGCAGGCTGTGCGGCTGCTCCTGGAGCACGGGGCCGCTGTGGACGACGTGGACTCGGTAAGGAGTTCTGTGTGACACGCACCTGTCTTCCTGTCTCAGGAGCAAGGACATCCTCATTCTGTCTGGCCTCCGAACAAGTTGTCATTGGTGAGATTGCCACCGACATGCAGATGCTTAGGTACAGCCTGGGCCCAAGTCAGTCTTAGGAGTCGGTGAGACTTTGTCCCATTCCTTTTCCCTGGCGCAGGAAGAAAGGGCTATTATCAATGGCCTTTCGGTTCTGGGAACGTTTTCGGTCCTTCACAATACTACGTGATGAGGGAGACTGGTAAGTCATAGAGCAAATAGTCACATGGATCAATGATGGCCCACTTAGCAAAGGGGCCAAGAAGAGGGTCTCCCGTGATAGGCCATGGGACTCTGCCCTGGTCAGCACCTAAGAAACTGTGTCCTGGGACAGACTGGGCAGATCAGTAGATGGCGCTCTGCTTGAAGGGGAGGGAGCCCTAAGACAGGCTCTGCAGAATTGCTGCCACAGGTTTAGAAGGACTGAATCTGGCAGTGCCATTTGGTACAGATATACTTAGCAATGGATACTTCGGGCTGGAGGTGTGGCTCGGCTCTGGAGTGGCTGTCTAGCACGCAAGAGGTCCTGGGTTTTTCTTCAGCATGGGGGTGGGGAGGAAGGAAGAAAGAAAGAAAGGAAGGAAGGAAGGAAGGAAGGAAGAAAGAAAGAAAGAGGAAACCATAGAGAGAGGCTCTCGGGGAATCCAAGCTGGCCCCAAACTCAAGAATGACCATGAACTTCTGTTTCTGCTGCCTTCATTCCCTGAGCGCTCTATAGGGCTGGGACTCCAGGTGTCCAGTTTATGAGGTGCCGAGGATTACAGCCAGGACTTCACACGTGCGAGGCAAGCTCTTTACCAGCTGAGTTACACACCCAGCCCCCAAGCTAACTTTAACTCACTAACTAAACACCACTGGGTGTTGTGTCACACGCCTTTAATCCCAGCATTTACGAGGCAGAAGCAGACGACCTCTGTGCGTTTGAAGCCAGCCTGGTCTACAGAGTGAGTTCCAGATCAGTCAGGGCTAAACAGTGATTCAAACAAACAAACAAAGGCAGGTGAGATGAGTTAGTGGGCTGTGCAGCCTGGTAACCTAAATCAATCATTCAGTCCTTGGAAGCCACAAGAAGGTGGAAGGAAAGAGCTAAGTATAAGGTTCTCTTTCAGCCTACACACGCTCTCCACTACACGCACGTACAATAAATGCAAGCTGGACGTGGTGACGAACAGCTATGTTTGCAGCATTTGGGCGGTGGAGGCAGGAGGATCTGGAGTCCAAAGTCATCTTTAGCTGCATAGCTTGAGGCCAGCCTGGGCTACGTGTGAACCTATCTCAAAGCAACAGTAACAACAACGACAGCCAAGCAAACCTGAGATCTCTTCCCTCCAAGTGGTTTCTTTTAAATGGTCCTTCTACGGAAGTAGCAATGAGAGTAGATGGCAGTTATTTTAATTTTAAGTTTCATCTAGCAAAATAAAGTTTCCAACAGTTTATCAGCCTGGATCTCTGTGAGTTCAAGGCCAGCCTGGTCTAAGGAAAGAGTTCCAGGACAGCCAGAGATAAACAGAGAACCCTGTGCCAAAAAACAAAACAAACTAGCAAACCTAGGGTTGCAGAGATGGCTGGGTGGTTTAGAGCGCTTGTTACTCTTGCAGAGGACCCACATTTGATTCTCAGAATCCACAAGGTGGCTCACAACCATCCATACTCCAGTTTCAGGGCAACTGTCATGTTCTTCCGGCCTCCTCTGGCACCAGCACACATGTGACGGATGCACTTACATATACATAGCAAAACCCCGCACCAGCACACATGTGCGCATTTACATATACATAGCAAAACCCCTTTAAATATCTATAAATATAAAACAAAATTAATACGTCTTTTAAAAAGCCAGCAAAACTTTCTGACGTTTAAGTGCCTAGAGCTTGGGGCTCTCCGGACTGAGTGGCACCTATAAGATAATGGTTTGGCACGTGGACACAGCCACTCCTCTGTCTCCTCCCTTCCCTCTGTCCTCTCCCCTAGTTTGGGATGAATGCACTTCTCCTGTCTGCCTGGTTCGGCCACTTGCAGATCGTGCAGATTCTTGTCAACGCTGGGGCCAAGGTCCACTGTGAGAGCAAGGTAAGGTCTCAGCTGGCAGCCCCGCACCCCCCCCCAGCTCTCCCCCTAGCCCCCTCTCTGCTTCCCCTCGTCTCCCACCTGCTTCTGCCACTGGCAGTGTGCCTGCCCCCTGGAACCTTGCAGCTCCACTGAGCTGAGCCCTTGGAAGCCCCTCCTAAGTTAGATAGAGAAAGGGCGGGAATATTTTCATCAGACAATTGTCTCTCATTTGGTTGTTCCAGCCCTCCCTGCTCTGGGGTGGAAATTCTCCAGCTGTCTGGCCAGCTGATTTCCGTATTTACAGACAGGGTTGCCCAACACCCTACAGGGCAGTTGGGAAGATGCGCTGAGGCTGGAGGTCTTCCTTAGGAACCCCCAGAATCTAAAATGACAAAAGGAATTTTGCAAAAATAAGATAATAGATGTTGAAATGGGAAGATTTTTTTTTCTGAGTTATCCACATGGGCCCCTGTGATCGTAGGAGTTCACACAGGAAAACACAGAGGCAGAGGGAGGCTGGAGTTCAGGTCCCAGCACCCACATGGCAGTTTGCAACCATCTGGAACTCCAGTAACCATAACCTAACCTTCGCTCCAAGTTTCTAGAAAAAAAGTGCCCTTGTCCACCCATTTTAGGCATTCTTTAATTTTAAAAATTATTTTTATTGTGTGTGCGCATGTGCACGCGTATGCATGCATGCGTGCGTGCGTGCGTGTGTGTGTGTGTGTGTGTGTGTGTACAACTTGCAGAAGCTGTTTCTGTTCTTCCACTGTGTAGTACCTGGGGATCAAACTCAGATTGTCAGGCTGCAAGTGGCTCTGCCCACCGAGTCGTCTATCCAAGCCCCAGTTTAGATTTCTCAACTTAAATGGTTTCCACTTAGATCGCCCCTGTCTTATGATCTTTGCAGCAAAACACTCTAAAATTTAGTGACCAGTGTAACTGGACTTTAGTTAAAATAACTAGGACTTACTCTTTTTCTTTATTACCTCCTCCCCGCCCCCTTTCATCTTTTGGTTGTATAGACAGGGTCTTACTCTGCAACCCAGGCTCACCTGGAGCCCACTGTGTAGCCCAGTGTGACCTCGATGCAATTCTCCTGCCTCAGTCTCTGAAGTGGATTATAGGCATCAGTGTGCCTGGGATCATTTTCTTTTTTCAGTTTGAGGAAGGGTCTTACTACATACAAGAACAAGTCCTCCATGTTCTTGAACTTGTTATCCTCCTGCCTCAGCCTCCTCAGTGACTTGCTGATATTGTTCATAGCTCCGTGGCTGGCTAGGCCATCCCTCTTGCTTTGCCCAGGTTAACCCATGAGGTAGGCTTGGGTTGACTGGACTGTAGGGTATCTGGAGCTTCTTCACGGAGAGTTGGGACATCTAGGATAATGTCCTCAGTTTCTCCAGTGGCTCACAGAAGCCAGCCTAGACATTCTATGTGGCTTCCTTGGGACAACAAAATAGTAAGAACAGGCCTGGGGATGTAGCTTAGTTGGTAGAATTCACGAGACCCTGGGTTTGGTCCCCAGCACTACATAAATTAAGTATAGTGGTCACTCTGGTGGTGAAGGGCAAGAAGGTCAAAGTTATTCTTGGCTGCACAGCAAATGTGAGGCTACCCTAGGCTGTTTATTGAGAGGGGTGTCTTGCTGTATTGCCCAGGCTTGCCCTTAACTCCTGGTCTCAGGTGGTCCTCCCCACCAGCCTCTTGAGTAGCGAGGAGGACTATAGTCATGTGCCATACCTGGCATTTTTCTAAAGTACTTTAGTTGGTGAATTTCTCACTGATGAGCTTTTTGGGATTATTACATATTTTGGATACACTCAGCGTGAATTTCGAGTGTTGTTTATCGCCCTCTAATTACTTCGGCACAGTTATCATTATCTAGAGTTTACTTACAGCAAAAGCCACAGACCTCAAAGTCAGACTCACTGAGCTCACAGCTATCAAGACATAGACCAGTGTTCTGCCGATTCTTAGGCTGCATCAGTGGTTGGTGAGCACTGGAAAACAGTATTTCAGGGGGTCCGAGAGATGGCTCCATGGTTACGAGCGCTCTCTGACCCAAGCTCATAACTAACTATAACTTCAGATCCAGGGGGATCTCAGCCTTTTCTGGCCTTTGAGGGAAGGAAGGGCGGGGCAGAACACACACACACATTTCTTAAAAAAATCTTTACTTTGTGTGTATAAATGTTTTGCCTGTGTGAATGTATGTGTACCACATGTGCCTTTTGAATCCCCTGGAACTGGAGTTAGGCGTGGCTGTGAACTGCCATGTGGGTACTGGTACTGGGAACTGAGTCCTCTGCAAGAGCAATAAGTGTTCCTAACTGCTGAGCCATCTCTCCATCTCTAAAAATATTTTTAAAAAAGAAAAACAGTGCCCAGGGACTCCAACCTTAATGTGGCAGGGGCGGAAGTTCTGGGTCATTTGTCCTTCGCAAATCTTCGTCATTTAAATATCCCTCAAGGGACCTCTCTCTTCCTACCTCCCCTTCCCTCTCAAAGACCTCTTGACTCCAGATCCAGGGGTGCACATCTGGCCTTTTTCACCCTGGAAGGTCAGGTCTTAGTGACTGTACACTGAACGCTCAGTTGCTGGTTTCATTTTTTATTCATTTTTACAAGTGTGTATGTGTGTGTGTGTGCGCGTGCGAGAGAGAGAGAGAGAGAGAGAGAGAGAGAGAGAGTGTTTAATCGTACCACATGCATTTAAATACCCTAAATGGCCCTGGAACTGGAGTGATAAACCTGTGTGAGCCGCTTGATGTGAGTGCTGGGACTTGAACCCAGGTCCTCTGGGAGGGCAGCCTGCCGAGCCGTCTCTCCAGCCCTGTTCCTTACACACTGCTCTGCGGGATGTTCTTGGGGCTGCATGTGCTGCGTCAGCTTACAGTTTGGAATCAACTGTTTGGTGGCGCACCCCTGTAATCCCAACATTCAGGAGGCAGAAGCAGGAGGATTTCTATGTGTTCGAGGTCAGCCTGTCTACATAGCAAGTTCCAGGCCAGCTAGAGACACTTAAATACTTTTCCTATGCTCTGCAAAGACTGAGGCAATCTGTGTGTAATTGCAAACTCGGAGAGGTGAAGGCAATGGGTCCCAAACCAGAGTTGATGAGCGTGGAGCCAGGCTTTTGGCTTCTAGCATCCTGATTGGTGGCTGCCTCCCTGGGTCATGCATGGGCTCTCTTCACCATTGACAGCATTGTTACCATGGCAACTGTATGCTGGGAAACAGGCAGTGTATAAGAGGGGCCCTTCACAGACTCCAGCCTCCCCCCCTCCCCACTGGCTTGTTTCCAGGATGGTCTGACCTTACTGCACTGTGCGGCTCAGAAAGGACACATGCCTGTGCTGGCCTTTGTCATGGAAGACCTGGAGGATGTGGCCTTGGACCATGCAGACAAGGTATCACCCATGCAAACCTATTCAACTCTCCCATTGGCTGGTACTTCACTGGGTGTACCCTGTCAGTTGAGACACTCTTTGGATGTGTCATATTGGCTCAGGCTCTACTAGGGACACTGCACACCTGGATCCATTCTTAGATCAGCTAGGAAAACTATTCTACCCTGAGCGTCCCCGGAGGGGACATGACAGGTATACAGATGGGCAGGATGAAATCAGAACGTGGCTGGCTCTCCCTTCCATCAAGGACTAGACAGGTTAGAGAAAAGAGCCTGTCTCTGTTTCCCAGAGAAGGGAGGGGGCGGTTAGGGAGGGAGAGTAATTGGAAAGGCGTGGAAAGCATCCTGGAACTTCAAGGGCAGGAAAGAGTTCTGAGTGTGTGATTTCTGGCAGGCCAGAATCATGAGAGGGGAAGTCCAAAGGGCAGAGGATCCCCATGGAGCTCTGTCTCAAACCTGAGGATTCTCTCTTCATATGACTGACAGCAGGGAGTCACTGAGGAACTGTGGCCGGAGGAGGGTCTCCTCCCAACAAAGGGGCTGCTGTTCAGAACCTGGGGCCCAGTGGCAGGGAGGATGGGGCGCGAGAGGCGAGGAAAGCCCAGGCCCGCAGGCAGGGGCCGTGTGCACGGCAGCCTGCGGAGGCTCACTGGCTCTGGGCAGGGGCGGTGTGTGCACGGCAGCCTGCGGAGGCTCACTGGCTCTTGCCTTCTGGTCAGCTGGGAAGAACAGCATTTCACAGAGCTGCAGAGCATGGACAGCTGGATGCTCTGGACTTCCTCGTGGGCTCTGGCTGTGACCACAGTGTCAAAGACAAGGTACCGTGTGGCTGAGAGGCACACTGAACCCCTGGCCAGCTGCACTCCTTGTCCTTGGTCCTGGCACCTCCTAGGCCTACCTGTTTTTTTTTTTTTTTTCAGATTTCTTTTATGGTGCATGAATGTTTTTCCTGAGGTCAGAAGAGGGTGTCAGATGGTTGTGAGCCACCATGTAGGTGCTGGGAATTGAACCCAGGTTCTCTGGAAGAGCAAGTGCTCTTAATCACTGAGCCATCTCTCCAGCATCATAGAGCCTACTTCTGACCCAAGTTCTGCTTGGGGGAAAGGCTCCCAAAGGCCAGAATGTGTCGTGTGTCTGATGTTCTTCTAGTGGGCACATGGGCCAGCTGGTGAGGTGTGAGATGTCCAAGATGAAATTTCTTCTCTTTTTCTCTCTTTCTCTCCACTCCACCCCCTTCTTTCTTTTTTTTTAATTGATTTTTATTGAGCTCTACATTTTTCTCTGCTCCTCTCCCTGCCTCTTCCCTCCACCCCCTCCTTTCTTTAACACAGTCTCATATAGTCCAGGCTGGCTGCAAGCTCAGTATGTATCAGAAAATGATCTGGGACCATCCTCTTGCCCCCAGCTCCCAAGCACTGACTTTCTAGGTGGCACTGCCATGCCTGATTTTTATAGTCCTGGGGACTGAACAAGCTCTGTACATGCTGGGTAATCACTCTACAAACGGATGTACATTCCCAGCCCTTATTTTGTTTTTAAAATAATGCAGCTGCCTTGAATCATAAGGAGCAAGAGTATGTGCGGGACTTATGCCTGGTTGTAGCTTTTGGTGGTGACAGGCATGACACTCGTCAGACTTGTTCTGTAACCCTGGACATGTTGCTCTGGGCCTTAACCTCTGTATCTGTGAAATGAGGGGAACAGCTCCAGTGGGGGTTCTGTGACATACTGAATCTGGGGACTCTGTCATCTGTCTTCTTCCTGCAGGAGGGGAACACGGCTCTGCACCTGGCTGCCAGCCGGGGCCACACAGCTGTGCTACAGAGACTTGTGGACATTGGACTAGACCTGGAGGAGCAGAACACAGTGAGTCATCAGCTGGGGATGCAGACAGAGGAGGTGCTGCTGGCTCTGTCTTTGGGGAACCCCCAGCCTGGGGGGAGTGTTCTTTGTCTTGGTAGAGAGCTGGGGCAGGGCATGTTCTCACACTGACACCCACCAGGAGGAAGTGAGCAGTCGTCCCAAGGACCTGGCTGAGCAGGGAGCCAGATAGAATTGTCAAAACATGAGCAGGCATGGTGGTGCATGCCTTTAATCCCAGTACTTGGGAGGCAGAGGCAGGTGAATCTCTGTGAATTCGAGGCCAGCCTGGTCTACAGAGTGAGTTCTAGGACAGCTAGGGCTGCACAGAGAAACCTTGTCTCAAAAAAACATATGCACACACAAAACAAACAAACCAACAAACCATGAGAAGTCGCCACTGCCCGGATGGTCGGGGTGGCTTTCTGACATAGGAGGGACTAGACTAATGAGGGCGAAGTGGGTCAGAGGGCAAGGAGGACATGGGTAGAGGCGATGATGAGGTCAGCAGGTCATGCGCATTCCTCACTCATAGGTGGCTGAGAGCTCAAGGGGACAGAGATAGGTGTGTGCCCTTAACTCCAGGTCTGGCTTCCACTTCCCCAGACTCTGTCCCTTTCCCTGTGTGTTTCAGGAGGGTCTGACCGCTTTGCATGCAGCCGCTGAAGGGATCCACACGAACTGTGTGAGGCTACTCCTCAATGCCGGGAGCAACGTCAATGCCCTCACCCAGGTAGCCATCCCTCCAAGATTGGTGAATAGAGGCTTTAAAGCAGTCACCCTGGGTTCTGGTCTTGGCTTCTCCACAGTTTAGCTATGTAGTAAAGGCCACAGGCCTGGGCCAAACACCAACGACTCCGGCCATGAGACTGGAGTGGAATATGAATCTCGGTGCCTGTCACATGAGAGATCCTTGAAATAGGGCCCTGATGCCTGTTTCTCTCCAGAAAAAGCTGAGCTGCCTCCACTATGCAGCCCTTGGTGGCTCTGAGGATGTGTCCTGGGCACTCATCAAGGCAGGCGGGTGCACAAACGTGGCAGACAGGGTAAGTGTTGAGCCTGGGTTGAAGGGACCCCCCACTGAGTCTCCTGTGATTATATTAAACACAGAAGGGAGAACTAGGCCCTTCCTCTCCCTTGTGGTTGGGGTGGGGCAGGGACTAATAATAGTGGCATTTCATTTCTGACGCTTTGTCAGGGACAGTGTTGAAACCGAGCTTGGCCATCCTCCCAGCTGAACTGCCTGCACCTAGCAATCTTTAATGTTTGCCAGTCCAGCCACTGACCACTTAATTATATTCTCTGTCTTTCTGGTGTTTGTGTGTGTGTGCATATGTATGTGTGTGCATGTGTGAGTGTGTGTGTGTATGTGCATGCGTGCTTGTGTGCGTGCATGTGTAGAGGCCAGAGGTCAACATTAGAGGTCTTCCTCAATCACTCCCCATATTATTTTTTGAGCCAGCAGGGTACTTCTGACTGTGCTCCCCAGCACTGTGGTTACAGGTGTGTCCTGCCACCTGTGACTTTTTATGTGGGTGCTGAGATCTGAAGTCAGGTCCTCATGCTCGCATGGTAAATACCAGCTGAGCCGTCTCTCCAGCCCAGGTGTTCACCCTTTCCCTATTAGAAACCTTCAGGGGCTGTGTAATCCTGTGGTCAGGACAGATGTTGTTATCAGAAACCCCAGATCCTCCTATCTTGGTAGTCTTCTCAGTTTTGCTAAATAAATTGGTTTGCTCTGGGGGCAGAGGTTGGGGAGAGACAGAGACAGGAAATGGAGAGAGACAGAGAGAGGCACACAGAGAGAAAGAGAAATAAAAAGTGTGTGTGTGAGAGAGGGAGAGAGAGAGAGAGAGAAAGAGAGAGAGACAGAAACAGAAAGAGAGAAATAACAAACCTGTGTGTTGCTGCGTGGTGGTGGCGCAGGCCTTTAATCCCAGCTCTCAGGAGGCAGAGTCAGGTGGACTCTGTGAGTTCGAAGCCATTAGTCTGGTCTACAGAGTGCGTTTCAGGACAGTCAAGGCTGCACAAAGAAACCCTGTCTTGAAAAGACCTAAATAAATAAATAAGGGGGCTGGAGAGATGGCTCAGTGGTTAAGAGCATTGCCTGCTCTTCCAAAGGTCCTGAGTTCAATTCCCGGCAACCACATGGTGGCTCACAACCATCTGTAATGAGGTCTGGTGCCCTCTTCTGGCCTGCAGACATACACACAGACAGAATATTGTATACATAATAAATAAATAAATATTAATAAATAAATAAATAAATAAATAAAGGAACCTGTGTGTGCATGGGTGGGCATGGGTGGGTGAGCGAGAGAGAGAGAGAGAGAGAGAGAGAGAGAGAGAGAGAACCTGGCCCTGAGGCCTTGGTACTATCTACCACTTGCAAACTGTTTTGACCTTACTAAGCCTGCTTTCATATATATATATATATATATATATATATATATATATATATATGTATATATACATATATATAAAATCATGATATAAAGAAGGAGATATGTATTTCAAAAATATAATTTCTCTTTAAATCTTTTAAATGTGCCGTGTACATATACCCAGGGCTGGCACAGCAGAGCCTCTAACCCAGCATGAAGACTACTGCCCTTCTATGGATCAGTTTTAGGCCTCCAGTTTCAGGCATTGTGGCTGTGCCTGCCTCACATCACCTATATTGTTTGAGAGACTACAATGGCCATGTTAACTCCACCCCACCTCCAATCTGCAGTCCTGGGAGGGACTTATTGATTAATCTCCATGTCTCTCCATAGCAGGGCACTGTTCCTATACACCTTGCTGTGAGGCACAACTTCCCTGGCCTGGTCCAGCTCCTCATAGATGCCCACAGTGATCTGGATGCCACGGATATTGTAAGTGACTGCGGAAACCACTCAGACCCAGGAGTCTCCCAGCATGGCCTAGCTTTTTAGCTTCCCAACGTTGTTGGTTTTTAAAATTTGTGTGTGTATGTGTGTGTGTACATGTGAGTATTTGTGTGACTATATGCTACCTGTGTGTGTATGCTATGTGTGTGCAGGGGCTCTGGGAGGCCATGGGGGGCATCAGATCTCCTGGAGCTGGAGGTACAGGCAACTGTGCGCTATGCATTGTGGGTTCCGGGAACTCAAATAGGATCTTCTGCAAAAATGGTGCCTGCTCTTCCTATCTATCTATCTATCTATCTATCTATCTATCTATCACATATACAGTGTTCTGCCTGCATGCATGCCTGTAGGCCAGAAGAGGGCACCAGATCTCATTATGGATGGTTTTGAGCCACCATGTGTTTGCCGGGAATTGAACTCAGGACCTCTGGAAGAGCAGCAAATGCTCTTAACCACCACACCATCTCTCCAGTCCCTGTTTATTTTATTGTATTTTTTTTTTTCTGAGACAGGGTCTCCGTGTAGTCCTGGCTATTCTGGAACCACTATATAGACCAGGTTGGGATTGAACTCACAGAGCTCCTGAGTACTGGGATTAAAGGCATGCACCACCATGCATGGCTCCCATATGCTTTCTGCATGCTTCACCTCCCCCCTGTCTTCTTTCCAGAGGCAGCAGACTCCCCTCCACCTCGCTGCCGAGCATGCCTGGCAGGATGTGGCTGAGATGCTCCTCGTGGCTGGAGTTGACTTAAGCCTGCGAGATAAGGTACCTCTGCTCTAGGCAGCCCCTCTGTCAGGCTTCCACTGCTCCCTTGGGGTCAGAGACACTGCTACCAATTCCTCGTCCCTGCTCTCATAGTCTCAGGACCTCCTGTGTAACTCAAAAATCTGTCTCCACGGCACCGTTTGTCCTCTGAGGCCTCAACTGTGGCCCTACGGTCTGCTGGGACTGTGGTTGATTTCTGTTTCACCCCTCGCCCACCAGACTGTTAGTTCTGTAAGTCACATGGGTGGGTGTCAGAGGTAGCAGGATCAGCCAGCATCACACTGCCTAACACCTCCCTGGTCATGCAACAGAATTCAGGGTGACTCAGGGTGGCCCCTTCCTTAGATAGCTGGAGGCCATGGGGTGGGGTGAGGCTGAAGTCAGCCTTGGGCGGAACTTACGGCTTTGAGCTGAACCCAGGAAGCTGGCTACATCTAAAGAGCAGCTTCCCACGTCCCTGCAGACCCCTGCAGGTGATTGGCCATGTGGGAGGCCTGGAGCAACGGTCTGGTGGCTGGGGATTGGTAGGCAGATATGGCAGGATGGCCCAAGCCAACTCCAGGCTCTGATTTCTTCATCTGAGAAACGAGATGGGGGACATCATATCGTTGTGGGGTTGAAGAGGGAATGAAGGCTGCTTGGCTTGATAGACCCTAGGCCAGTGGCTCTCAACCTGTGGGTCGTGACCCCTTTGGGTCAGATATTTATGTTATGATCCATGACAATAGCAAAATTAAACTTATGAAGTAGCAATGTATAGTTGGGTGCCACCACAACATGAGGAACTGAATTAAAGGGTCACAGCAATAGGAAGGCTGAGACCCACTGCTCTAAGCATGTATATGCCTGTGCTTGTGTGAGTGTATATATCCACGGAGGCCAGAAGAGTGTGTGTGCAGATTATTGGTAGTCAGAAAAGGTGGAGTTGCAGGTAGTTGTGAACCACCCAGTGTGGGTGCCAGGATCCAAACTAGTCCTCATGGTAGAATGGCAAGGGCTCTCAACCTCTGAGCCATCTCTCCAGCCCAGCTCTGGGCACAGTTGGCCCTGATGAAACTGGAAGTGGTTGCTGGAATAATAGTAAGTCTAGAGGCTGCCCTGCACTGCTCTGCAGGAGCTCCGGCTTCTCTACCTCTTCTTTGCAGCAAGGAAAAACAGCCCTGGCAGTAGCCGCCCGCAGCAACCACGTTGGTCTGGTGGACATGATCATAAAAGCTGATCGCTTTTACAGATGGGAGAAGGTAACACCTCCATTCATCTCCTGTTGGAAAGCCTTGACTGTGTGTGGAGCCTCAACCGATTCTGGGGCCCTGTCTCTAAGTGGGTGCTCATCTCTGCCTTGGGTACTGCTCAGATAGTGAGGACCTAGAGATGGGCAAGCAGCCAGACATGTTGAAAGGAGGCAGCCTCAATTCTATGCTGGTGAGATCTTGGCCAAGGAGTGAATTGGTTTGGATACATAAATTTCATGGGTGACAGAGAAGTGGGGTGAGAACCGGGGAGGGGGCTCTGGTCGGAGGCTTTGTGGAAGAGGTGCCATGGTAGTGCTCTTTTGACTATGGCATCGGGTTAAAAGTCAAGGAGGTGAGTTCCAGAGGGAGGAAGTGTGGGATCCAGTGGTCAAGGCAAGACACACACAGGGTGGCAGACATGAAGCCTCAGGCCCATGCTGATTCGGGTTCCCGGGCTCTATCACCTGTGTTAAGATCATGAGGCAGGCCCCAGACGGCTCCTGCACTTTTGGGATCTGCCCCCACAGGACCACCTTTCATGCAGGGACACCAGCGACCCCGCTAGGAAGAACCTGACCTTTAAACAAGACCACCGGCAGGAAACACAGCAGCTCCGCTCTGTGCTTTGGCAACTGGCCTCTCGGGGTCTGAGGCCCAACGAGTGGAAGAAACTGGCATATTCCTGGGAGTTCACGGAGGCTCACATCTGTGCCATTGAGCAGCAGTGGATAGGTACCATCTTACCCTGCCTTCCACCAGGGCAGCCAGGGATGGGGGCATGTGAGATGAGCTCTGAGTTCAGAAGCTCATGCAACCCACAGCCCGCGCTACTTCCAAAGCACTCCTGGCTTCTTGCACAGGCTGTGTGTCCCTATTCTACCCCCCCCCCACACTTTGTGACCTTAAATTTTGCAGAATCTGCTGGAACCCATACCCCTGGGTTCCATACCCATGGTTTATGCACTCAGCTAATGCCGTTCCCTGCGGAGAAAAAGAGAGGCCACTGTTGGCAGTCTTATTTAAAATCAGTTGAGACATCTAGACCCTGGTACAAAGGCATGAAAAAGAAATAGACAAAAAGAATATCGCGTCAGGGCAATGACTCAGTGGGTGAGAACGCTCGGTGTGCAACTGTGAGGACCCAAGTTCAGATCCACAGCACTCACGAAAAAGCTGGGCATGGCTCCGTGCATCTTTAACCTCAGTGCTGGGGGTGGTGGATGTGCAGATAAAGAAGGATCATTAGGACTTGTTAGCCAGCCAACCTAGCACAGCACACTTCAGCTTCAGTGAGACCTGATTCACACTAGTAAGAGTGACAGAGCCGGACGCGATGCTCAACTTTGGCCTCCACGTGCAAGGGCACAGGTACTCACACCATATGCACACACACTCACTCATATGCATCACACACCCATGCAGCATAAACACTCACACATGCGCGCACGCACACACACACACACAGACAAGAGACAGAGACAGAGATAGAGACAGAGAGAGACAGAGAGAGAGAAACATAAATACTGGAAAAGGAAAAGAGTAAATTCTTCATTTCAAATGCTGTGATTCCTATACATGAGGAAGCCCAGAAGATACAAACATATGCATTGTCAATGGATGGGTCAAAAGTAGGTAGAATTTTTAGAGCTTTCTAGAGAGCATCTAAGGCTGAAAACCATAAACCAGTGCCGGGGCACAAAGACGGCCAGCTGCCTCTCACTAGGCTGCTTTTTATGTTAGATCTAATCTGTATGTTAGATCTAACATGTGCCCGAGGTGTGGACTGTTAGAAAGGAAGCATATAATTGGGTAACCCAGTACCTTGAAGACATAAGCATTTTTTTTTTTTAATTTTTCTTGAAAGGGTTTCTCTGTATAACATTCCTAGCTGTCCTGGAACTCGCTTTGTAGACCAGGCTGGCCTCAAATTCACAGAGATCTGCCTGCCTCTGCGTCCCAAGTGCAGGGATTAAAAGCATGTGCCACCCCTGCCTGGCTAACATGAGCCATTTTTTAGAGTAGGCAAGTAGATGCCTCAGAGAAAACCTGAGGCTGTGGAAGTTCTTTGACCTGAGACACCAATCACCCACCCACCCGATCTGAGAAGCTGTGTGTACTGTGACCCTGACCTCCACCTCAGGCTGCCTATAGCAGAGAAAGGCCTCTCTCCTGCTGGGTGCATTTAGGATGCAGTAGAGGGCAGCATATACATGCTCTGGGTGCATTTAGAATGCAGTAGAGGGCAGCATACACATGCTCTGGGAAGGTGCCATGGTGGCCTCTACTCTCATCATCTGCAGGAACCAGAAGCTACCAGGAGCATGGTCACCGGATGCTCCTCATCTGGCTACATGGTGTGGCCACAGCTGGGAAGAACCCCAGCAAAGAACTGTTTGAGGGCCTTGTGGCCATCGGCAGGAGAGGCCTGGCTGGTAAGTGAGCCCTGGCCGGAATGCTTGGGCCCTTGAAGGACCGCTCAGGCCAGACATCTGTGGGACTGGTCTGGGGCAAACTAAGGCCTCCTTACCCGTCGTGTCTTTGAGTAATATCGCCAGTGAACCCCTGTGCCCTCACAACCACCAAAGTCACCAATGACACTATAATCTTTACCTCCCCAACTGTCTCTGCCTTCTAGTTTGGAATAAGGCCAAAAATAGCCTTAGCAATTCTTTTTCATTAGGGGAGAAGAGCCACAGACTGGCTTAAACATTGAGTTGAGCCTTCTGAGGCCAGCATAAGGTACTTAACCATGCCACTCCCCAAAATTTAATTTGAGATTCCCATAGTGACTTGGGACTTTCAAACAAGCAGGACCAAAAGCTGTGGAACTAATCCCTCATTAAAGCCAAGCTGGTTGATAAAAAAAGCCTTACGCAATAGAGTATCCATCAACATGGGCAGCATGGGGCAGCCGCAGTATGGGCTAGTAGGCAGTTACTGGCAGCCACGAAGGCTGCCTTAGCTATGAAGCAACAGGAAAAATAGCTCTTGCATGGTGGCTGTCCCACACCTCCTCTAGGCCATGTGAGGAGTGCAGGCATTTCAGGGTGGAGGGATTAGGGAATAGTTATTTTTACTTTCCAAGAACTTTTTTTTTTTTGAGACTTGGTCTCATGTAGCACAAGCTAGCCTCAAACTCAATTTGTAGCTCAGAATGACTTTTGTGATCGTCCTGCCTCTGCCTCTCAAGGGCTGGCATTAGAGGTGAGCTACAGACAGCACACCCCATTTCATATGTTACTGGGGGAAGATCTCAGTGTTTGGTGAGTGCCAGGCAGGTATTCCACCAGCTGAGCTCTATCCTCAACCTCATTTTCCAAAATACTCTTTAAACAACCACCACAACCAAAACATCTGGGTTTTAATTCCAGCACTCAGGAGGCAGAGGCAGGAGGCACACTACTGGTTCCAGGCTGGTCTGCTCTACATAGCAAGCTTTAGGTCAGCTAAGGCTTTGTAGTGAAACTTTGTCTCCAAGTAATCCATGTTAGTACTTGGGAAAAAATTCAAGCTTGTAAGATTATTTTATTATTGCCCTCAGGTACTTACATAAATAGTAAAATAAGATGGTACCTTTTTTATTGTTGTTTTGTTTTGTTTTTTGAGACAGGGTTTCTCTGTGTAGCAGTCCTGGCTGTCCTATATCTAACTTTGTAGACGAGGCTGGCCTTTGAACTCACAGAGATCCACCTGCCTCTGCTTCCTGAGTGCTGGGATTAAAAGGTGTGCACCACCACCGCCTGGCCCAACTCAAGTTTTTTATTGTTATTTTTGTTGTTGTTGTTTTGGGGTTCTTTGCTTTTTTGAGCCAGAGTCTCATTATGTAGTCTTGTCTGGCCTGGAATTTGTTCTGTTGACCAAGCTGGCCTTAAACTCACAGAGATCCCCCTTCCTCTCCCTCCCAGTGCTGGGATTAAAGGCTTGTACACCACATCTGCCCTCCCCCCTCCCAAATATTCTTTTTAAAATGTTTATATATTTATTTTATCTGTGTCTGAGTGTTTTGCTTGCATGTGTATCAGAAGATGTTGGATCACCGGGAAGGGGCAGTTATGAGCCACCATGCCAGGGTTGGGAACAGAACTCTGGTCCTCTGGAAGAGCAACAAGTGCTCTTAAATACTGAGGTCTCCCAAGTGTTCTGAAGAACAGCAATTGTGTCTTCCCTAGCTCAAAACCCCACAGGGAATTAGGACACAAACCAACCCTGGGCGGGGGGAGGGGGAGGCAGAGCTGATGCATCTCAAACAACAGGAGTCTTGTGTTCCACAGAAAGCACCAGGAAGATGGCAAATGGAGAGCCCAGGGCCCCCAGGAGGTGCACAGCCATGTGAGCTGTGGGAATGGTGCAGGACCACGGTATGGAAGAGGATCTCCATAATGGCTTGCAGAACAGTGCCTGCACACAGACCTCCAGCTACTGGACTGTAGACACCCTGCCCCTGTGAGGAAACTCTCAGACTTTTTGGAGGATGGGAGATGTGTTTATTCTAGGTTCTCTGGGTCATCTTGTCTCAGGAGTGTGGCCCTTGAAGCTCTCAGCCCACTTTGTTGTGTTTGTGAGGGCGCATATGTGTGTACATGCATTCCATGTGTGGAGGCCAGAGGGCACTTGCTGGGTATTCCTCCCCAGGCACTGTCCATCTCATGGTTTTTTGTTTTGAGACAGAGACTCTCTCGATATTCCTGGGGAGTCCTGGATCGACCTTTACTTTGAACAGCCTGTGTGTTTTGAGACAGGGCCTCTCATTGCCCTACTTAAACCGACTGGCCAGTGAGCCCAGTGATCCTCTTGGATGTCCAAGTATGTGCCCCTGCCCTGGTTTTTATGTGGGTTCTGAGGGTTGAACTCAGGTCCTCACATTGCATGGCAAGTGTACAGACTGAGCCTTATCCCCAGGCCTCTCACTGTCTCTTCGTTAGCCTAGAACATCATGAAGCGCCCTCTAGAGGTGCAAGGGTGTCTTTACACTAGGGCTCCAAGGTCCAGGGAGGAGAAGCAGCTTGTCCAGGTCATACCACAAATCAAATGGCATCCATCCAGCTTTCCTCCAACCCAGCCTGCAGGAAGGGCTGCATTCATCACCTCCAAACCAGACTGTCCTTAAGTTGTTCAGGACAACACATTAGTCTCTAGTGCCAAACAGACAGAAGCGGCCATGCTGATCCCACAGTTGTATTATAAAGTCCATTTGTATGTGTTGACAGTCCGGGAGGCATGTACTCTCCTTTCCTTCCCTCCAAGTGAATAATTGGATATATAATTTTAAAATTTTTTTTAAATCTTTTTTATCTCTTAATCATTTCAGAGATTAAGTTGCAAAACAGTGCTGAGAATGTTCAAGTTTTCTGCATGAAGCTCCTGTAAATGTTAACTCTTACACAACTACAGTGTGGTTTTGTGAAATCAGGAAGTTAGAGGCTGGAGAGATGGCTCAGTGGCTGAGAACCCTTGCTCTTGCACAGAACCCTGCTTGCTCTGTTCCCAGCACCCACATGGCAGCTCATAGCTGTCTCTAACTCTGTCTACAGGTGATCTGGCGCCCTCTGCTGGCCTCCAACATTACTGCCTGTATGTGGTTGTGTGTGTGTGTGTGTGTGTGCATGTGCGTGTGTGTGTGTGCATGTGCGTGCCTGTGCATGTGTGTGTGTGTGTGTGTGTGTGTGTGTGTGTATGCTTGACTCTGTGTGACGTGTGTTCAGGCAAACACTCATACACAGGAAATCTTTTTGAAAAAATTAGGAAACTAACAGTGCTTACAAACTATTCTTTAATCTCAGACCACATTCAAGTTTTGTCAATATTTTGTCCCTTCCTGGATTACTATTTGGCCCAGGGTCACAGAGCACATTTAGACATTTTAGTTGTCACTCTGTTGTGCTTCTCTGGTGCTCTGGAAATCGAAGGCAGGGTCTCACATTTGCTAGTCCACTGAGTCAACCCTTTAGCATTGTTTTTGTTTTAGGTAAAGTCTCTCTGGAAGCCCAAGCTGGCCTCAAGCTTGACATCCTCCCACCTCAGCCTCCCAAATACTGGGATTGCAAGATGCACACCACCAAGCCTGCCCCCTGCCGCATCTACTTACTTATTGTGTGTGTGTCAATAGGAGGGAGGGCAGAGGGCAGCCTGCCAGAGTCAATCCTCTCCCTCCATCTTGTGGGTCCTGGGCTTGAATCTGGGCCATGAGACTTGATGGCCAACACTTTCGCCCACAGAGCCAACTTGCTAGACTCCCCTTCCCTCTCTTAAAAGCTTTTCTTTTCAGATTTAAATTTTCATTTTATGTTTACGTTTTGCCTGCTTGTACGTACGAAACACCACATCTGCGCCTGGTACCCGAGGAGGCCAGAAGAGGCATCGGATTCCCCGAAACTGGAGTGACAGAGGTCACAAGCCACAGTGTGGGTCCTGGGAACTGAACCCCGATTCTCTACAAGAGCAACAAAGCACCCTTCATTGCTGTGCCGTCTCTCAGCCTCTCACTTCATCTTTAATAGTCGCGCGAGAAGTAGAACATGCTGCATTGACAGGGATGCTGGGAGCTGCACATCCAGGACGGCCCCACTGGCCACGGTGGCCACTGAGACTGTGCAGTGGACGAGGCTGAGGAACTTAATTTTCTTCTTCTCTTTTTTCCCAAATTTTTCAAGAGGGTTTCTCTGTGTAGCCCTAACTGTCCTGGAACTCACTCTGTAGACCAGGCTGACCTTGAACTCGCAGAGATTCACCTGTCTCTGCCTTCTGAGTGCAGGGACTAAAGGCTTGCATGCATCACTGCCACCAGGTCTATTTTATCCAGTTTTAACTACTGAAATAATAATAGTGAATGATGGTCTTGTTTTTCTTTGTGGCAGTACCACTGAGGAGATTGCCCTGGTTTTGCCTTGTCACTTGCCACTTCCACTTCTCCAGTTAGGGGCTGTGACTGAGATGGGGCTGGGGGTGGGAGGGTCCTGGTCTCAGGCTGTCTGCAGCCCGGGGCCAGAACAAAGGCCAATATCCGAAAGCTACAATGTCGCAGGTGGGGCAGGTTGGTCATTGTCACCTCCTGCAGCTGTTCTGAGCCTTTCAGGCCACCTCCCCGCAAGGTCGCTTTAGCCACTAACCCACTAACCTTCCATTTCTAGCCTCTTCTTTCTATAATGTTAGTGGTTTAGTTTTGTTTCTGAGACAGGGTCTCACCGTGAAAACTAGGCTGTCCTGGAACTCTCTGCAGAGACCAGGCTGGCCTCAAACTCACAGAGATCTTTTTCCTTCTGCCTCCCAAGTACTGAGGCTTGGGACACACACCCCCATTTTTTTTCTGGATAAACAACTGACTGTCTCCTGGAGATTTCTAAAATAAAATGTGGTTTGTCTGCACATGGAGCAGGACAAGAGCAGTGGAAACGGGGTAGCACAAGTCTTGTTTGGAAAGAACTTCAAGATCAATTAAATGAAAAAAATCAATGTGTAACTGTGCTATTGTTTGAGAAATGAAAGTGAATTTTTAATTGTACATGTTTGTATAAATAAAAGCCAGATGAAGGCTCAGAAACTAATAGAAGTGGTGTCCTTGGAGTGAGAGCCCATGGGACTAGGGAAATGGTGGAAGAAAGAGGTGGGTTTCTAACTGTCCCTTGCTGTCCTAGAACTCTCTGTAGACCAGGCTGGCCTTGAACTCAGAGATCCACCTGCCTCTGCTTCCCAAGCACTGGGAGAAAGAACTCTTAATGAAATGATGCACTGTTTTAACTCTTCAAATGTGCAGGTGCGTAAAAGAATATGGTGTCTGGAAAAGGTTAACTGGTGGACAGCATAAAGACCAGCAGTCACTGGGGCTCGGTGGGAGGATGGAGAGGAGGGATTAGTAGTTGGCATTTAGGGCACTGTTGGGACAACGAAGCTGTTCTTTCTGGTAATAGTGGATACATGCCATTGAACAGTGCTCAAAACCCATGAGGCGTACGGTACCGTGAGCCCTGATGTAAGCTCTGGACTTTAGTTGATAATGTTTAGTATGAGCTGGTGGTGTGGCTCAGCTGGTAGAATTCTTGAAGTCCTGGGTTCAATCCCTGGCTCGGCATAATCCAGGTGTGGTGGTGTGCTCAAAAACATACTGAGCTTAAAGCCAGATGGAGCCACATGAGACCCTGTCTAAAAATAAAGGAAGGCTGGGCAGTGGTAGTGCACACCTTTAATCCCAGCACTTAGGAGGCAGAGGCAGGTGGATTTATGAGTTAGAGCCAGCCTGGTCTATAGAGTGAGTTCTAGGACAGCCAGGGCTACACAGAGAAGTCTTAAAAAGATCAATTAATCAATAAATAAAATGAAGGAAAAGAAGAAACAAAGAAAGGCAGGCAGGAAGGAGTGTCAGTGTTGGTCCGTCAATTGTAATGTCCTTCATAGATGCAGAATAATGACAGGACAGACTGTGTGGTAGAGAAAGACAGAAGGGAGTTCAGCTTTCTCCGTCACTCTAAAAGTCAAATCTCAGCAGTTGAGAATGCTTGCTGCTGGGACCAAAGTTCACTTCCCAGACCTAACTCAGGCCCCTCATAGCCACCTGTAACTGCCCCTTGGGGGATCTGAAGTCTCTGCTCTCTGAGGGCACCTGCACACACGTGCATGGACACAGACACATGGCTAAAAGCAATACAAAGGTGGTGGCGCACGCCTTTAATCCCAGCACTCGGGAGGCAGAGGCAGGCGGATCTCTGTGAGTTCGAGACCAGCCTGGTCTACAGAGCTAGTTCCAGGACAGGCTCCAAAGCCACAGAGAAACCCTGTCTCGAAAAACCAAAAAAAAAAAAAAAAAAAAAAAAAAAAAAAAAAAAAAAAAAAAAAAAAAAAGAATAATGGGGAAAAAAAAGAGGCTTTAAAACCAGCCATTTGGGACAGGTCTGATGCCGCACACCTGGTGTAGGAGGGTCTTCTTTCTATGTGTTGCTTTCCTTGGTTGAATAAAGAAAACTGCTTTGGCCTTTTGATAGGGCAGAAACTTAGATAGGCAGGGAAGACAGAACTGAATGCTGGGAGGAAGAAGGCAAGCAGAGAGAGCCGCCATGGAGCCAGCCGCCAGGTCAGACATGCTGAATCTTTCCTGGTAAGCCACGACCTCATGGTGACATACAAATTATTAGAAATGGGTTGAATCAAGATGTGAGAGTTAGCCAATAAGAGGCTAGAAATAATGGGCCAGGCAGTGATTTAATTAATACAATTTCCGTGTGGTTATTTTGGGGGTTAAACTAGCCGGGCGGCAGGACAGGGCCGTTACTACACACACCTATAGTCTCAGGTACACGGGAAGCCGAGGCCAAACACTTGCCTGAGCTCAGGTGCTGCTGTTTGAATCTGAGTAGGCGTGTCTGCATGTGGCACAGCTGTGGTCACTTTAAGAGCTCAAGGCACCTAGGTCCCAGCTTTTGGCACCTGGGGAGGGTTAGGAACCTTTAGAGGTGTGGCCTAATAGAAGTTATGTCACTAGGTGCGTGCCCTTGGAAGACACAAGGACCCTGGGTGCCTAGGCTTCCCCTCTCTCTTTTCCCTGCTGCCAGGGAGGTAAGCTGAGCTCTTGGGCACGCTCTTCTGTGTAACACTGCCCCACCACAGGCCAGCAGCGACTGGAGCAAGAGATGCAGGCTGAAACCGGGTGCAGAGGTCTTTTCTCCTGTTTTGTGTGTTAGTCACAGTGATAAAGGTGACCAGTAGAACGGGGGTTCAAGTCCAACCTGGGCAACATAGTAAGACCCTGCCTCATAAAAACAAAAACAGACTGGAAACTGTGTTTGATTAAGAATAGCTACAATCCCAGCTACTCTGGAGGCTGCGGGCTGCGGCAGAGGATTCCGGAACCCCAGGGGTTTCTGTGGCCGGTATGAGCAACGGAGACCCATCTCGCATCCACTCACTTCTTTTATCTGGGTGAGATGACAGATCTGAATGTTTATTAAGCAAGTTTTGTTTTGTTTTGTTTTTTTGAAACAAAAGTTCTTAAAGTCTCCATCCTGTAATGGGTAGGGGCAAAGTATGGTCAGACTTCTTTTGCCTCAGGGAAGGTGGGGTGGGGTATCTGAGACACCTACAGAGAAGTCGGAAGTCTGGGTTCAGGGATAGATTGGGTAGGGAATGACAGACAGAGCTAAGGGTGTCTGAGGTCTGTACAAGGCCATGGGGTTGGGGAGACAGGTTCATCTGGGATCCCATCCGTGTGCCTGGAACACAGGAGCAGAGAGGAGGGGGAAGGCGGGAGGGCCACAAAGGTCATGCCGGGAATCCATTTCCTGTTCCATAAGTGAAAACTTGGCAGGGCACAGTGGTGCGCATTTATAGTCCCAGCGCTTGAGAGGCAGAGCAAGCAGAGGGTGGGTCAGGAGTTCCAGGCCAATTTAGACTACATAGTAAGACCCCCACTCAAAAAACCCAAGGGCTTGGCAAGAATCTCGCTGGCAGAACACTCAACTATGGCACACAAGGTCCTGGGCTCCATTCCCAAAGCCATACAATAAAAGTTGGTGTCTTGAAAAACCAT